ATTCTCTAGTTTTTGTAAAGCACAGTCAGGTAAATTTTAGAATTTTACCCCCAGTGCACCTTGTGTGTGGTATAGACTGCCAAATGTACACATTGTGTTATTCTTCATACATCCTGGATTCCTGGGGAGAGGGAGTATGATGTGGGCGTGTTTCGTGTGCTTGAAATCTATAAATATACTCAGAGGCTGTTCAAAGCTGCTTGCTGTCATTTCAGCACATTTTCTAGTGTTGGTTTTTACATACACCCGCACTTTCACAAAAAGAGTAAAATTGAATTCTTTCTGCTACAATGACCATGATTCAAGATAAGTTGTTAGAAAACTGGATGTTCTTTTTATGTCAGCCCAAAGAGGAAAAAGTAACTTCTGGTTCTTCCACAACAATGTGTAGAGCACTCTGTTTTCATCCCATTTCCTTGACCCCTTTTAATATTGAGTTCCACAACACTGACTCCTTGTTATGCCATCACTTGTCTTCTACAGTCTTATCTAGGGTTTATTTTCCCTCAGCTGTGCCTGACTTCATTTTTAGTGAAAGCTTTTATTTCCCTTTTACCACAAATCTCATTTCACCAGCCCCTACCCCATGCTCCCCATACCCTACCCTTGCACTGACCTGAAGGATAGACTCTTGATCATGCTCAATGCCTTTCACGGTCAAACTTCTCTCACCTGCCTAGTTTTACCTCCCCTGGCTCTTCCTCCCTCATGTATAGTACAGTGGTTAAAATCTCAATCTCTTAAATCAGACTATCTGATTTGAATTTTGTGTAGGTATGGCTTAATGGATACTGGTGACACAGTGGTTAAAAAATTTTGAATGTTAACCAGAAGTTTCACAGGTAAAACCTACCAGATGCTCTGTAGGAATATATGTGGCAGTCTGCTTCTGTAAAGATTACAGTCTGGAAATCCTATAGGGCAGTTTTACTCTGCCCTATAGAACTGTTTTTAGTCAAAATAACCTTGACAGCAGTCACTTTCCATATTGGTTAGTGGGCCTGGATGGTACAATGGTTAAAGTGTTCAACTACTTACCAAAAAGTCATCAGTCTCAATCCATGAACTGTTCTGTGGAAGAAAGATGTGGAAGTCTACTTCTATAAAGATTAATAGCATTGGAACCCATAGGGCATTGGTAGTTTAGTGGTAGGATTTGTATTTTTCATTCAGAAAACCCTGGTTTGAGTCACAACCAATGCACCACATAGTCAACAATCATCTTATCTGTCACTGTAGTCTTATATATTATTAGGATATTGAACAGGTTTCAGTGACACTTCCAGACTAACACAAAATAGGACAAAAGGCCTCAAAATCTAAGTTTATAAAAACCTTATAGATTACAATAGCTCCATGTTCAACTGGTACTGGGGATGGTACGGTACAGCATTTCATTATATTGTACACTTTATATGTGTTGGGTCATCTTGAGTCGGGGTCAACTCAATGCCAGATATAGGGATACAGCAATATAGGGATTACTTAACACATTCTTGGGCCATAGTTTCTTCATCTAAAAAAGTTGGGATAATAGCACTTTCTGGAGTTTTCATAGAGACTATGGTAGATTGGTACAGCAATGACCTTGTTTGCCTTGTTCAGTACTGGTAAAGCCTCATGACCTAGTGACATATCCTTCTGCATTGACTTTAGTCTTGGCCATGAGGCCTGCTTTGGCTAGAGTCACAAGCAGAAGTTTGATAATTCCCTGAAATTAAGATTTTCATTGTTTTGCTTGTTGCTTCTGGAACCTTGCTACCATGTGAAGAAGCCTGCATTAATCTACTAGATGATGAATAGAAAGGAATTGGCAGATACAGAGGAATTTAAAGAAATAACATATGAGCAAGAGCCTATGGTGATGAAGGAAGAAGTTCAAGCTGCTTTGAAGG